TCTAGCTTTAGCAATTTAAAAAACAATTTTCATAAAGTTTTTAAATCCACAAAATGGAAAGTTTCCATTAAGCCACACTAATCATCACATCTCTTTCATCATTAAAATCCGACATTTGCATAAAGCACACAAAAAAAAACTAACATTTTAGCAAAATTAAAAAAGTTTTTTTTTCTCCAGCATCGAAAGCTATTTACCTTACAATGTAGTAAAAAATTAATTTAAATGTGCCCACGAAAGCATGAAAAGCACTTTTTCTCAGTCACTACGTTCCTTATGAGGAAATTTTATCAAGATTATTTTGTAGCTCATTCAAAATTGGGAGAGCACACTGCTTAGAAGAGCTTAGAAGTTTGTAGATTCACTTAGATTAGTATAGAGTTCGTAGCTTTAACTATATCGAACCTTCTGGATAATGGAAAGTCTCTGGATAATGGAAGGTCTCTGGATAACGGATAGTTTTGAGATAACGGATGATTTTAAGATAATGTATGGTCTCTGAATAACGGAAGGTCTCTGAATAACGAAATGTCTCTGGATAACGGATGATTTTAAGATAATGTATGATCTCTGGATAACGGAAAGTCTCTGAATAACGAAATGTCTCTGGATAACGGATAGTTTTGAGATAACGGATGATTTTAAGATAATGTATGGTCTCTGAATAACGGAAGGTCTCTGAATAACGAAATGTCTCTGGATAACGGATAGTTTTAAGATAATGTAAGGTCTCTGGATAACAAATGGTTTCTGGATAATGGAAGGTCTTTGGATAACGACTGAAAAAGTTTGAATCAACTTCGCGCTCTGCTGTTTTGGCACATGTGAAAGACTTCATGAATTAACCAATAGCTTCATTACGTAACCTTACATTCAAATTCAAAATCTTCATTGCATCTCAGATTGAAACATCTCAAGGGACTTTCCAGATGACGAGAAGAAGAAACTTTCTAATTGTTAAATATACATACGTAAAGGAAAAGTTTAAATGTGGCTTTCAAAATGCTTCAACGTGCATAAATCATTTTTTTTTTCTCTTCTGAAACATAAAGAAAAAGTTTCTTCTTACATTTTTTTTCAAACCCAACCCAACAATCATTTTATGTCGTTTTCTGTAGCCTCAAAAAAAAGTGAGCAATGTTAAAAGATATGAGCGAGTCATGTCGAGTGGAAAAAGTCTGTAATTCAATTGCTCTGCAAACTAAATTGCCGAGTTGGAAAAGTAATTAAAAATATTTAATGAAAATTTATCGTTTCCATTTTTTTTTTATACTCAACTCGCCTGGGTACAAGCAGAAATAGAATCTCCGGCAGCAATAAGAAGAATGAGAAAATGGATGAGAGAAAAGAGTTTAATGCCATTTACAGATAGGGTTTTTAAATGTTTTCTATGCTTACATTGTTCTATGTGCTACACAAGATGGATCGTAATGAATTCCTTGGATGTAAGGAAAAATGGTAAAGTTTAATTACAATTTGATTATTTTACTCACAAAATTGCTACGGGCTCTTGTCATTTAGATGGGATATTTATTTTTTTGGTAGATTAAGTGGGCGAGTGGTATTGTAGATTGATAATTTTTTTTTGGATTTTAAGGGTAAAATTCTTTTTTTTTTTGAATGTCAGAGAAACTGAATATATTTGGTATTTTATGTTAAAATACAAACTTGAAGTCCTTAATCTAGTCCATGTTATTGTCAATATTCTAGTACTTAGTATGGTCGTTAGCCTAGTCCTGAGTGTAATCGTTAGCCTAGTCCTTAGTAGAGTTCTTAATCAAATCCTTAATATTAGTTCTTAATCTAGTACTTTGTCTAGTCTTTAGTCTAGTCCTTAATTGTATTCTTAATTTAGTCTTCAATATTCTAGACCTAAATCTAATCCTTAATTGTGTTCTTAATTTAGTCTCCAAAATTCTAGTCCTTAGTCTAGTCCTAAATCTAGTCCTTAATTGTATTCTTAATTAAGTCTTCAATATTCTAGTCCTTAGTCTAGTCCTAAATCTAGTCCTTAATTGTATTCTTAATTAAGTCTCCAAAATTCTAGTCCTTAGTCTAGTCCTAAATCTAGTCCTTAATTGTATTCTTAATTAAGTCTTCAATATTATAGTCCTTAGTCTAGTCCTAAATCTAGTCCTTAATTTAATCTTCAATCTAGTATTTTATCAAGTCCTTAATCTAGACTAGTTCCCAATCTAGTAATAATCTAGCCTATAGTTCAATCCTGAGTCTAGTCCTGATTCTAGTCCTCACTTTAATTACTAAATATGACGAAAACTTAGGAGAAATCGAACTTACACTTCAAACAGGAATTGAATGCTTTGTTTTAAGTTCTTGATTCTAACTGCTACAGCATTTTTTGTTTCCTGAGTCAATTGTTCACCTGGAAAGAAAAAAATGAAATTAGCCCAATTTATCAAGAAAATGCCATCCAAGGGTGTGGTACTAATGAAATGATCAAAAATGATCAAAATGTAATTCTTCAGTTCCGCACCCTTGATGCCATGTTAATTTCTCAGTAATTAAAAATATATTTGGAAAAATAAGGTATATAGCAAACATATTATTAAGTCACAACTAGCAGAAATCTAAATACCCTGAGCAGTCTACAAAAATCCTTCATCCTCACTCCATCCACTCAAAATCTACAATTATTTTTCAAAAAACAAAATTTTCAACTAATGGATAAATAATTAAAATATTCTCATCTGAGAATGTCTGCGAGAAAAGATAAAGGACGTACTTATTTTCCGTTTGCGACCATCTTCATTAAATTAAAATGCTTTTATAATAAAAGCCATTTTCTATATTCTTAATTTCACATTAATTTAAAATTAAATATATTTTTTATCTCATTTTAATGAGATTCTTGTGCTTGATGTGAATTTTATTAAAAATTTAAATTAGATGTGAGTGAGTATAAAATAAGTAGAATTTAGGGACAGTGAAAGGAGGAGAAATGGAAGGATGATTTGAATAAAATATCAAATTTAAATTAATTTTTTATGAGATTGGATTTAAAAATAAATTCGAAAGGTTTCTTGATTGTCATTAGAATTTTAAAGGGTAGCTATAGCTTCAAATTCATGTTATTGGTTGATCTGGGTCAGTATTTATAAGGATCCATCAATTCTAGCTTGATTAAGTCCCCCAATTGAATACAAAACAGCGTCATTGATACCAAAACATCCACAAAAGAAATTACTCATTGAAATCGAATTTACAAAATTACTACAGAAATCTCCATCAACACTAATCAATCCCTAATCAATTAATATCGACAATACAAATCTCAAATGTCATCATCGTAGCTGTTATTAAACATAACTTCAAGGATCCTTCAACATCAACTTTCCCTTTTCATTGAGCAAATCATTTAAACATCATATATGTATACATCTCAGCCATCCTGTGTATATTTGTGAAAATGCCAATGAACATATGACCAATAATATGGAAAATCATACAATCCATAATAAACAACAACATCGTACGGTATAAAAAACAATGCAAAAGTAGGAGAGAAGAGAGGATAAATGATGAAAAAGAGTGAAAGCAGCATGTTGACCTCTTCAAATTCAACAATACGAAAAACTTACCGTAAAATTTATACATCGACAAAATGTTGCCATGGCTCTTAAATTTATCATAAAAGGGAACTAGGATGGTGATTAGAAAATATGAAAATTTATTCAATCTTTCAATAGGAATGAGCTATAAGAGGGAGGATAAAGGAAATCAGTTGAATAGATACGTAAAATTGACTAGAAGATGTATACAGAGAAGCTTTTGTGATGTGTATTTACAGTTGTGGATGATATCCATCAATATATTAGCATGAAGATGGGGAGATTTTGATGAATATGAAGATACAAAGCCTCTTTTAGCTAGATTTTATCGGCCAGTTGAGCATAGTTGCACACCCTTCAATAAAATTTCACACTACAAAGGGTGCAAAATTATGAACATTGTAGGATACTATGAAGAGGTATGAAACTATGACGTCTTATTTAGAATTTGGTAGCTCAAACTCTCTTAGATTCATAATAAGGGATGTGAAACTATGATATTCTAATTTATTTTAAGGCGTGTGAATACAGCTTTTCTTTAAGGGGTATGAAACTATAAAAAACTGAAAAAATCAAGGAGTGTAAAACTACACGCCATCGTATTTCATCACGCTTATTTCAGGGTGTGGAATTTAGATTGTTTAAGATTACATTAATTGTCTTTTAACTTTTACAGAACAAATTTCTGTTAAGGGGTACACAACTATGAAGTTTCTGGATTCACATTATATAAATATTATCTATATAAATTAAAAATCAATTCAAAACCAACTTTACATTAGTAACCAATTCTGTCAGTAACACATTACTAAACTGAGATGAATGGTGATTTAATTCATGCCTACTTATTCGATATGATAGAAAAGCAATTAAATTACACTAAAACTTTCTTCTATTAAAAGCAATCAGTACGTAAAATTTTCAATGCAACACTTACTCATCCCATATTTTGATAAAATCATCTGATACAATATTTAGAAGCTACAAAATTATTTACATTTTTGGTGTGATACCGAAAAATTTGCATAATTTTAGACACAGACATAAATGTAAATTTTGCTTACGGATCATCGAAAGTGAAAGTTAATAGAATTTATTGAAAATGAAATAGACTGAAAATATCGAATATTATCAAACATAAATTTCTAATAATTGCGGATTATGAATGTGTCATTAATTGATTAGAATCTGAGGATTATTTGACACTTGTTGTTGTTAATGTGAGCGTTGAACATGCAACTTTGTATGATGTGCTGTTCAAATGATGAATGATGCCTAGTTTGAATCTTGATAATAATTATATATAAAAAATTACAATTGTATATTATTTTACTTTTTGTGACAATTAATGACTTTATTTTCATTTATTACTCATTTTATTTGCACGAAATTATGCTAAGTATCAGTTCCAGTTGTAAATATTGATAAATATCATTCACAGTTATTCAAGCTAGTTTTAAGGATGTCAAACTTATTATTAAGTGCCTGTATAAATTCAGATTGCATATTTCCATAATCAAGCTCAAAGTCATTGATCTTTTCCATTGCCTGACTTCCACGATGCAAACAATGACCTTTAAGATCAAGAAGCTTTGTGCTGAAGTTTGCGAAAATTTCATTAGAATCAATACATTTACCAGTTGGAACAGCAACTTTAGAAGAACTTTTGAGCTTCTTTTCTAACCTCACAAATGCTGGACTTTGACATGAACTTTTAGCTGTTGCAATAAGACTAAGAACTGCATTTCTGTCATTTCTAGCTACACTATTTGGACATATATTCCCATTTAGCCAAAAATATGTGAGGCTTGTTAAATGATCAAATACATTTGCACTAATATGATAAACTCTGTTGTTTTTGAATGAGATTGCAACTAATTTGAGGTTAAATTTGAAAGTTCCGTCTTCAATAACTTCAATTTTATTGTTGTCAAAGTAGAGCTCCACTAGTTCTGGTAAGTATTGCAGATCATCTGATCGTAGTTCCCTTATCTGACCATTATAAAGGTAAACTACTTTAAGATTCCTAAATCTTTCTAACCCTTTTGGGAATTTTTCAATATTTCCAGTTGTGCCATAAAGACCTAAAACATCATTATGAGTTTTGCCTGTCGTATGAGTTCCAACAATATCAGCGAATTCATTTTCTGATGAAGTAACTGTTGAAATGACACAAGAATAAATTTGCCAAAGGATGTAGTAGTTCTGGACACTGTATGAGCAGCTGATTTCAACTGATGTTGTGATCCTCAATATTGACATAAGACAGGATGCTAAACTATATAAAAGAAAAGTTCTTACTATTAAATCAGGATCAATACAAGTCTAAATAGCTCCCAAAATTAAGCTTAGCTCTTTAATTGAATTTATACTCACAAAAGTATTTTTCGCATTTCTTAATTGATGAGATAACTTTTAAAGACACACTGCTCTCAACTCAAACAGATGTGAAATAATCTTGAAATAATTAAACTTATTTTTTTCCACTTTATGATGCTTAACGTTGTATTTGTTAATTAATGAAATCAAGGCGTGGACACTCAAAAATATGCTGGGATTATTCGGGATTATTGGGATTATTGGGATTATTTGGGATTATTGGGATTATTGGGATTATTTGGGATTATTTGGGATTATTTGGGATTATTGGGATTATTGGAAAAAAAATTATTCAAATATTATGAATTTTTTGAGGAAATGAACTGTAAGAAATATGTTATTTGAAGCCATTGTGACTTGTAAAGTTTAAACAATGTGAAAATATATCATTTTGAAGTGTTTGTTGAGTATTAAAATATAAATTTGATCATCTATAATAATTTTCATAGAATTTTGACTGACTTATTTAAACAATCGGTTTTTGGAAATGGATTAGACATTTCCTCAGCGTTTTTAGTTGTAGTTAAGTAATGTCCAAATTAAAACATCAGTCTAAGGAAAGTTTTTGGCTTTATTCCTATTTTTTTAGGGTTTAATGAGCTACTGTACTAAGTTTTTCAGACAAAAACCTCACTTTGAGGAATCTTAAGGTTATTTTGGTAGATTGCTCGTATAAAGTATGTTATAAGTTAATATATAATTATTTGTTAAAGTTTTGTTTTTATTAAAATGTCCAGTATTTATCCAAACAAGTTCTACAAAATGTACCATGTGTTCGATATTAAATACATACTACCAGAGCTCGAAGTCGATAGGGTTCGAGTCGACTCAACTTAAAAAGATTAAAATTTCGATTTTAAGCATGCGAAAATATTTAAGCCGGTTAACTTTCTTTTTGTTCTTTCTCTTCCTGAGAAATATATTTTTGAACATAATTTTCTCAATTCATTGGACATAATTCTATTTTTAAGATCATTTTTAAAAAATCAATAGTGTTGTATGTACTAAGTAAATTTTAGGTTTTTTAACCTTCACAGTTAAATATATTCAATATAGAATTTTCCTAAGTCATGTCCTTTTTCAAAATGGTGGCTGGTTTTTTTACCTTAGATCTGAAACTTTTTTAAACAATAACAATGATCTTATTTATCCACTAAAATAAGTCCTGCTGATCTAGATTCAGTTCAACTCAATGATGTTACCAAATCGTATTACGTTAATACGAGTATGATATCCCGTAATCAATTACGGGCAGACTTTAGTACTTTCTCGAAATTCCGGTACAGAAAATTTTCGGGATCGGGATCGGGATCGGGATTGAAGTTTTTCGGTCAGCGTTTACTGATACAACTACGATTAAAAATCTGTAAAAGTTTCAGTAAGATTCATTGGGTATAACAAAGGATACAGTCAAAAATGTAAAAATTTTAAAATAAGCTCGCCCCTTTTTTGGTGTGAAAATCCAACGTTATATAACATTGGAAATGGTATTAAGAAAACTTTAAATTATAAAGTTTTATAGTTTTTGTTTATTTTAAAACGATGAAGCACTAGATCTCAAAAACTTTTTTTTTAAAAAAAGTCCCTAATTTTTTCCCCGTATAAACTTGTAATCAGGATTTTCAATTTCGATCTCGATGGCCCGATCCCGGGATTCATCGGGACCGGGAAATGTTGACAATAAATTGAAGATTTAACAAAGTTAGATTTGGTATTCACTGGATCTTATTATTTCTAAATGCATCGTTTTAAGTGTTTATTAAAGAGATAGAAGCCGATTTTTTCAGCTTAACTCAATTTTTTTGATTTTTTTTACAGAAAAATCAGTTAACTTGAAATTCTGAGCTTACTATAGCTACATGCTGACAAAAAAAAATAATAGTAAAGCATGTAAAATCTAATTTAAATAATTGAAATGGGCGCTAAATGGCTTTTTTCTATCAAAAAAGTCGAAAAAATTGAGTTAAACTGAAAAATCCGGCTTCGATCTCTGGTTTATCCCAATAAAAGCCAAAAAGTCAATAATTTAACCATAGCTGTCACTATCACCGAGGACGCTACTAGCTTTACTAGATTTGTTGAATCAAAAACCTAGTTTGAAGAATATTTTTTGAGGAAATATGTATCGTTTGATTGATTTTCGGGCTAATACACGATTATTTTGATTAGAACGCATAGTAAATCAATAAAATATAGCATTTAAAAGACATTTTAAATTGATTTTTGTAAATTTTTGACTAGTGCACTAGATTTAGTTGGTAAAAAAATCACTTTTTGACGTTTTAAGGCTAGTTCATTACTTTAGCTAATTTTTAAATTAATATTCTGAACTTAAAGTGTATCCAAAGATTTTTAGGGACATTTTTCTTTTCAATACTAGTCAGATTTTAACATTTAATAAATTGTAAATTTAAAAAATTTTAAAAATATTTTAATAATCCCAATAATCCCAATAATCCCAAACCTGGGATTATTGGGATTATTGGGATTATTTGGGATTATTGGGATTATTTGGGATTATTGGGATTATTTGGGATTATTGGGATTATTTGGGATTATTTGGGATTATTGGGATTAATCCCAGTGTCCACGCCTTGAATGAAATAAGGTCACTGATTATAAGAAGTTTTATAGAGTGAGTACTTGGACTTGTGGGTATTTTCAGAAAATTCTAGAGCACTTTCACAGTTTGGAATAGAGAACATAGCACTGAATCTTTAAACAAACTAGATGTATGCTATCTAGGGTTGATTTTATATTGTCGTTGACCCAGAAGCCATCATATGGTCGACTGATATCTTCTAATCTACTATTTGAAAATAAAATACTCTTTTCAGATCAAGAAATCATTTCCTGATTCAAACATCATCTCAAGCCAGACTTCAAGATAAAGTGGTGGCAAGTTTGGATGTCTGTATCCAGGTTTTATTGAAATTTTAAATTATAGCTAAATTTACAGTAATAATTAAAAGTTTTTATTTTATTTATAAGGAGTCGTTCACGTATGACGTCCAAAATTAACGGTCATTTTTCAAAATAGAACAATGGATTTCCAGAAATTTCTATTGTTCTTTTCTTGCTGACGTCGTAAGTGAACGGCCCCTAAACAATTTACATGGATAAATGGCTTGGCGCTGGATTTCTAATCGATTAACCGACTTGTGCCATTCGGTTTATAGCTTTAGTCAATTTGTCATTAAATTGCTTTAGCCACAATCACTTGCTAATTCTTTAACTTTTGCTGAAGTGCATGCATCATCTCAGAATGTTTATTCTTGTAGTCAACTTCTAAATCATTAATTCTTTTCATAATTGCAGCTTTAAATTCTTCGAAACTTTGATCATGGATGTCCATTTTTGCTTCTAAATTGTCAATTTTTTGTTCTAAGTTTCCAGAAGTATCAAGATTCCTGCCACGTTTAATTACTGATTCATTAAGCTTATTTTCCATCCTTAGAAATACTTGATTTTGACACGTGCTTTTAGTTGCCGCAATAAGATCTAAAACTGCATTTCTATCATTTCTAGCTTCATCATTTGAACATTGATTTCCATTTAACCAAAGATATTTCAAGTCAGTCAAATGATCAAAGACATTTGCATTGATATGAATGACTTTATTGTTCATGAACGAGATGCCAGCTAGTTTTGAATTAAAGTCGAAAGTTCCTGCTTCAATCACTTCAATCTTGTTATTATCGAAGTACAATTCAACTAGTTCTGGGAATGGTTTTAAGTCGTCTGAAGATAATTCCTTAATTTGACCATTTGTGAAGTAAATTGCAGTAAGATTCTTAAATGTGTTTTTTATGTCTCTGGGAAATTTATCGACATTCCCGATGTCACCTTTAAGGCCTTGCACTTCATCATTATTTTTGGCATGCATATGAAATCCACTAACTTGGACGATTGGATTCTCTGGAGAATTGACTCTTCTAATTACGCAAGAATATATATTTCTAAGCATATAATAGTGTAGAACGCTATAAGCACAACTGATCTCAATTGAGGATACAATGATGATGACTGACAAGAGACAGAAGGTGTAGCTAAAATTATTAGGGAAAATAAGCTAGTCTTTTAGTGTTTCAAAATTGAAAATACTTACAGAATTAATTTATTCATCACTAAACTATAAAATTAAATTTTTGAGCAATCACTGTTTACAGCACAAAGTAGCTTCATAAAATGATAACAAAATAATTTGAATTCGCACTTCAAGATTAGTTTAGATGAGTACTAAAAATAAACTCTTGAATATGATAATCATGTCTGAATTTTTTTATTTGTATTTCAATGTTTGAAGGTAATTGATTAGAATTTAATTAAATGAGAGTTATTAAGTTATTAAAATTTTTATTTTAATCGTTCATTTTGTTCACAAAAGAGGATAAAAAGTTACAATTTATTCACAAATTTGACTTATATTACTTTTCAAATTTTCAGACTTCAAATATAATTTATGTGAAAACTCAGAATGCATGTTTCCAAAATCAGCTTCAAAATCTTCAATTTTACTTTTATATAATTGATTTCCAGATGATTCACATTGAGCTTGAATGTCAGCAATAATTTGATCATATCCATCAAAAATGTCGCCGATGTTTTCACACTTTGTTAAGCATTTAGGGCATTTAGTGGCAGGCTTTTGGGTTGGACAAGGTTTTTCGGTGGTTATAGAAGTTGTATGTATAATTGGAGGAGGACATGTTGTAGGCGATAGGCTGATATTTGAGCATATAGGACAAATTGGTACAGGCTTGTCAGTTGGACAAGGCTTTTCAGTAAGCACAATTTGAGGAGCACACGTTGTAGTGATAGGTGGAAGAGTTGGAGGTGGCAAAGTCGAACAATCTACTTTAAACTTTTTCTGTAACCTCAAAAAAGCTGCACTTTGACAAGTAGATTTGGCTGTAGCAATTAGTTTAAAAACGACATTTCGATTGTTTCTAGCCACACCATTTGGACATGGATTTCCATTTAGCCAAAGATTATTCAAATTCATTAAATGATCGAAAACATTTTCGTGGATGTGAAAAATCTTGTTATGCAAAAATGAGATGCCTGCCAATTGGGGATTAAAATCGAAAGTTCCTTCTTCAATTACTTCGATTTTATTACGTTCGAAATAGAGTTCCCGTAATTGCGGGAATGATTTAATGTCTTCTGCAACAAGTTCTTTAATATGTCCGTTATTAAAATGAATTGACTGGAGATTTTTGAAAGAATTACTCAAGCCTTTTGGAAACTTCTGGACGTTTCCAATATTACCAAAAATTCCATTTACGTCATCATTACTTGATCGAACAGTATGGATCCCTGTTACATAGGTATTGTCATATTGTACTGAGGTAACACTTTTAATAGTACACGAATAGACACGTTTAGCTATGTAAAAATTATGAAGACCAAATCTACAATCAATATTAACTGACGTTGTGATGTTTAGCGCTCCAAAAAGACTGAGGACAAGCCTAAAAGATATTAATAAGCTTGTCAATATTGTCAAATTTCTCTTATTGAAATATCGTTACTCACAAAAATATTTTAATCATTATTATTATTTTTTCAACTTTATTCAAACTTTTAAGAATGCAAACTGTTCAAGAGAACGAAAAAAACTGAGACTTGACGATTTATTCATGTTATTTATATGAAAGCAAATGCATTTGATTTAAATTATATTACTTTGGCATTCAAAGGTCAATTTTATTCTTAACTCTTTTTATCTCTCTTAATAATATCCAATATATATAGATGTGCTCATACAAAAATATCGCAGTTTTTAAACGTCAAAAATTTGAATTTTCTAAAAACACTAACACTATAAAAGAAAATTTTCAATTTTTGTTTTGCAAAATTTTCAACTTTCTGTTACGTTTTGTTGATACAGGAGTATTGCAAATGCTTTGCTATAATTTAAAGTAACTGACTTAAGTCAAATGTTGTTGCATCTGTCGATATTTAAATGAAAACTTGAAAATAGAAAATTTTAAAAATTTTTGTTTGTATAAGTACACAAAAAATAGTATGGTCGAGTATGGTCAAGTATACTCTGTATGAGCCCATCTATATATCTTGATAATATCCATCAATAAATGAGATGGATCCTTGCATAGTCACAAAATTAAGATTTTTTCAGCAGTGACAGTGACAAAACTGTTAGACACAATTTATAAACTGCTCGACTTCTATGCAAACTTAAATTTTTTTTCTCTTCTTAATTGGAATCAAGGGTCAGTTCCACACGTGAAATGATCAAAAATTATCAAAATTGATTCAAAATGTAATCATCCCTTGATAGGAGTGAAATATGATTGCCGGTTCTAATGGGGATGTCAATAATTTTTGGTATTACTTGAGTCATCCACGTTGCGTACCTTCCTGCTTGATAATAAAGACAACATACAAATTAGGGTTTTGTGAAAGTTTCCACGAAAAAATTCATTGCGAAAAGAATAAGTCACTTAAGCTTCATCTCAGAATTCTTATTTTGTATTATACGACAATTGAATGATTGTAGACATCAATAGACAACATGCTTGTTATCACTTTAAGTTTCATATGAGTAATACTATTATTTCATCACGAAATATTTTTTTTAATATCTTATTATGAAAGTTTAATTTATTTTAAATTAAGATGAATGTGGGTTTTACCACCGACTACGCCCTGAAGCTAAAAAGAATCCTCGTATAGTAAAATTTAAAAAGCTATCTGTTAATGTATTAACATCAATCTATCTTGTCCTATCTCATTTCTATTGTTTCTGCAAGGATCCTTATGTATCTACATACTCAACATATAAGCTCAAAAACAGCATAGATATGATGATACTGGAAAATAATTTTACTTATTAATCATTTAGATTGAGTTTTTTTTTCACGCGCCGTTAAGATAAAAGATATAAATTATCTCTGCATGTTGTGGATTTTTTTTCCCTCTATTTCAGTTACTGCTTATGATATGTGAATATATATATTTTTTGTACTTATGTACTAACCAACGAACCATCCATCCATTCATTCACATTCATTTTTTTTTACATTTCTAAAGCGTATCCATCATCATCATATATCATCTGACAAAGGGGATCTCTTCTGCTTTTTATTGTGCTGTTTTTACAGAAATAAAAATTTATATGTGAATATATAAACACACATTTATTCATTCATGTGCCATAAATGCCAGAAAAAGAAAAGGAAGAAATGAAAAAGTAGAGGGCGAATTGTGTATATTGTCCGTAAATTAATGCATAAGAATTATACTTTTTTTTCATGTGTAGGAGTGGAAAAGAATTTCATCGCGGACTTTTATAGTTTGCATGGTTTATAAATTATATTGTTTTGTCTTGTAGACTTACTGCTTGGAATATATGAAGTTAAAGTCTTTTCTAGAGTATACAGTAATATATAAGTAAATCTGCTGGTGCAAGATTAAGACCTCGGTGGTCTGGTTGTTAAGCAACAAGCTGAAATTTCTCTAAGACAAAGGTTCAATTCCTCCCAGATGGCCATCTTTAAATCATTATATAGAAGGTGGCTAGTCGTAAGCATCCTTGTCATATCAACACACACAATACTTAATGTAATTTAGACTAGGAAATCAGTTTCTTGTGGGAATCGAACCCTTGTCTTGGAGAAATTTCAGCTTGTTGCTTAACCTGTTAGACCAAAGAGGTCTTAATATCACACTGACAGATTCTCCTTAATATAGTTTAATCTCTATTTTGACACTACAGATTGATTGGTAGCCATGTGATAAAGTGTACTCTCATCGACCAGATATCAAATCAGAATTCATTAAATTTTTGAAAATTGATCGATCAGATTGACTTATAGTATTTAAGGCTTGTAAGCTCAGAATTGATATCAGAGTTGTGATACAGGTCGTCTGTCACAGGCACAGATGACAGACCTGTGACAGGCACAGATGACAGACCTGTCACAGGCACAGATGACAGATCAGTCACAGATATTGTCTGTGACAGGTGATTGACTGTAACAGATCGCAACTCTGCTCATGGTTCAAACTATAATGTCTTGATTACATCATCTTTTCAGCATCAATAATTTGGAGCAAATTTTTTAGATCATGAATAGTTTAAGTATCAAGACCATACCAATTCACGAAAAAATGCGCTTAATGCTTTAAATTTTCCATAATTATGCTATCTACTCATTTATCTTTCACTCTCTTTTTAGCCATGTATGTCTGTTGCCATGTTTAAAAATTACCGCACATCCAGTTTCCTTTTAACTTTGAATTTCTCGTCTCAAACCCTCCTGGCCCTTTATTTATGCATATATTTTTACTTCTTTCTACATGAATTTTCTCTCTCTGTGCTTAGAACCCTTTTTAACTGAATTCATGTTTTTTTACTTCACACACATTCGAGGGCATTAATGATGGCTTTTATCTTCCCAATTTTTTTTAACATAAAGTAAACGATATGTAGAAATAAAAGTTTCACTTCGATATTGCATAACTGATGCTATTTTTTTAGACACAAATACATCCACATGAGACATAGAATGGAAGAGAAAGGAAGAATTTTTTACATAACGTAAGATGAGATGAGGTCTATTATGAAAAATGAATGTATGGAGAAATGGTTCATGTTCTATTAAAATGAATTTTTCAACCCTTCCATCTGCCTATGTTCTTTTTTTCTTTCATTCAATCCTCAATGTGGAAGTTGGAAAAATATTTCTCAATGAAGATTCGAGTTTGTGAGAAAAATGGGGAAAATATTTGTCATTTTGGGTGTAGGGTGGATTTTTGAGAGGACTTTGGTATATGATATGGACACAAAACTTAAGTTTTTGATCAGTTTTGTTGTTTAGAACCCAATTTATGAGAAAGTTTCAATTTGAGGTTATTTGTATAAATTTTGAGGTTATGTCCACAAATTTTGAATCTATTCTGAACTTATAAAATATTGTAGGATATGCTATTATTATTATTATTTATTTATTTATTCTCCGCAGGAAAAATAAAAGGAAAATCCCCTTTAAGCTGAGCAGATGTACCCAACTTTGAGGTTATATTTTGTATATTGATGTTTTGAGTTTGATTTAAAGGTTATTTTTAAGATTTTTGAGGTTATGTCCACAAATTTTGAGGTTATGTCAACAAATTTTGAGGCAATGTTTCTAATTCTGAGAAAATGAGCTTTATTTTAAAGTTACATGCCTTATTTTACGGTTGTTTTTAACATATTCGAAGTTTGAACTTATTTTTAAGGTTAACTACTTAATTTTAAGGTTAGCTACTTATTTTAAGGATAAAACGACCAACTTTGTTGAGCAGTGTCACATTTCAACTCCATTAACTGCGCTCTATACCCAACCATCACCTCAAATACCTTCAAAACTTTCTTCCTCTCTTCTGTAATGTTCTGTCCATGACTCTGACTAAAAAATGCCTCTTTTCTATTTTCTACATTTATTTCATTGGGGAGATTCCCTTTTCAGCCTTTTATTTCAATCAAGTAGACTTAAATTGCTCTCACTTCTATTCTACATTCTACATTCATTCAATGTGATAGGCTAAAATGTATTTTTTTCCTCTTCGAAGATGCTATGTTGAAGCTTTATTCCATTATATATGATTCTCTCATCCCACTCGCCTGAAAAAAAGTTCAGCATAAAAAGCGAGCATTTTAAAATAAGTGAATCAATGAGGAGTGAAAAGAAAATGAGAAAAATGAAGATGAGATGTTTCATTGAAAATGTCATGTACAGAATGGGGTTTGATATGAAATGGAATCAAATGGATGTGTACAGTTGGAGTGATTTTGAAAGTTTTTTTGTGTTTAAAAAGGTTTGTGACAGTTTTTGAGAGACTTTAAAAGGTTTGTGCAGGATTCTATGGGTTGTGATGCCTATAAGTATCCTTATGAGTCATTCACACGAGTCACATGGCTTCATTGGCATCCATTAGTCACCATAATGGTACTGTGTCTGTGAAATCATCAACATCATCTTGATAGATTTATCCCCTACTTGCTGGCTAAAAAGACGGTTCAATTATTTTTCCACAGGTTCATTTTATCATTTCACAGCCAATGGCCATTAAAACTCGAGTATGGACCAAAGCCTGATCACAGTAAATGCCTCCACAAATTCCAAAGCAATAAAAACTTTAAATCTTCCATATCAAAAAATCCTCAAAATTTAATCAAAATGAGAAATCCTCACGTAATTTTCAAATAATTCTCCACCCAACCCCACCCCCCTATTTATAAAAAATTTAAAACTCAAGTGAATAGTAAGAGAAAAATGTCCATAGTCCGTTGATGGTTTTCATCTAATTTTTTACCCAACTTTCGGTATGTGCACAAGAGTTTCCATGCTTATATTCACATCAATTGAAAAAAATGTCGGGTGGTGTGAGGCTCACACACAAAATGAATGCTGAATATATGCAATATAAAAGGCAAAAGGATATTTATATACGTATAAAGTTCTAGGGATACTGAATTTCATTAAATCTATCGAGAGACTTTTTCTTCCTTTCCTTTTCAACAACAACGCATATATACATGTGATTCTAAATGATTCAAAATAAAAACTTTTTAAAAAACTACGTTTT